GGAAGGCTGAGGCGGAAGGATCGCCAGAGCCCAGCAGGTCAAGGCTGCGGTGGCCGGGAGCGGCCACTGCACTCCAGTCCGGGCGACAGAGTGAGACTCCAACTCAAAAAAAAAAAAAAAAAAAAAGTTTTAAAGACGAAATCTGAGTGAGAAAAGACAATACAGCACTCATTCCTTTATCAATATTTGGAGACGTTTCTAAGCACCTGTTATACACACACACTCTAGGCACTGCATTAGAAAACCACAGGTAACACAGGAGCATCCCAGATGGTCCGCATGATGGACACCAGGTGGAGGGAAGACAGACAAGGAAGTAGTAGAGAAAGAGGACATCCAACATGGGAAGGGGACAAGCCTGCCTATCTGCTAAGGGGAAAACATCCGTGGCACGAAAGAGACAGAAGACGTAGGGACAACAGGAATGTTTAAAAGAAGAAAGATCTTAAGAAAGGGAAGAGAAGTGTCCACAGCTCACCCGGAGCCCGGGCCTCAGACGGGCCCATGTGGGTAGGTGGACAGGCGCTCGGGGGCACGGGGCTATACCCACATGTGCCGTTGTGCAAAGGCTGTAGGCGATGCCATCTCCTGAGCTGCTGACAGAAGGTAAGGGTGCGGAGGAGGCAAGCAGGCTGAGGACACTCAGGAAAGGATTCACACAGGGCGTGTGGGAGCCAAGCACAACTTGGTCAGGACCCCAGTACACACGTGGGTAAACTCAAGAGGCAGCGAAAAGCTACTGCAAACAGCACTGACTACTGGCACACAGCACAGTCATGGAGTATCCTTTATTTAGCTTGAGTACATCCAAATTATCATGATATCAAAAGCAAATCTCTAAAATAGATACGCATTTTGTGATAAAAAATCCACACAGTTCAGTTACAAAATTTCCTACATATGGTTTATATACAACATTAAATAAAATGTAGACAATACAATTTTTACAATTTAGGAAGTTAGGTTTTTTCCTTTTATTAAAGTCATACAAGCTAAAGAGACAGTTTATCCTAGACTTTCAGCCTGTCCCCTGACCACCAGAGTAGTAGAACTTCCTACCAAGTAGTAGTTGGCTTTATCGTGCAAGATTTTTAAAACCACTCAAAGTAGGAACTAGCTTCTGACCAGTCACTGAAGTACATGCTTACCTGAACCCACGTGGCCTGCATATTTGACAAGGCACTTCCCTGTCTCTATGCTCCAGAGCAAAGCTGTGTGATCTGCAAGATCAAGATTAAGAAGTTGTAACTTAGTATCATCAAATTTAAGTACAAGAATGAGATAAATACTCTAAAAACAGGAAGCTGCACTATCACTAGTATGCAGCAACTTGGATTCCATTACTCTAACATTCAGTTGATCAAAGAAAACATTTCCAAGATCAGAGAGAATATGACCTGTCTGAGGCCATGAAGTTGGCGAACAGACAACGCAAGACACGCTTTCCTAGTTTACAATTACGCTGCCTGAATCACACCTGAAACTTACATACAGCGGTCACTCATATCATGGTTTCATTATTCTATCGAAGAATTAAAATTCTTCAGAACATCTTCCAACATTCAAATAGCATCCAAATCCAGTTACAAATTATTTGCGATAAATAAGTATTACTTTGGGCCTTTCCTCCTACAGACATTAGTTAAGGTAGGTTTAATAGGGAAATTGATCGATGCTAATTATCCAATGAAATCTGAAATACCAGTAAGGACCCCTTTATTCTTTTTTTTAAGTTTTCAAACAAAGTTATTAGCAAGAAAAAGAGAAGAAGGAAGATTCATGGCAGAAATACCTGCCATGAGAACATTTTTCAAAGAAAAGCTGCCTTGTTCTTTTCTTTAAAGTCATGATTTCCAAAGCAGTCTGAAACACATCACCTTCTTCACCACTCTAACCAGCTGATCATGCTCACTTCTACCACTGAAAAGCAGAGTCCACGAGTGGTTACAAGCTGGGAAGTCATTTTAATAAGTGAATACCTGCCGGGTTCAGTGGCTCAGCCTATAATCCCAGCACTTTGGGAGGCCTGAGCCCGCAGGTTCGGGACCAGTCTGGGCAACTTGGTGAGATTCTCATCTTTACAATAACTAAAAAATTAGCCGGGCATGGTAGCACATGCCTGTAGTTCCGGCTACTTGGAAGGCTGAGGCAGAAGGATCGCAGGAGCCCAGTGGGTTGACACTGGAGTGGCCATGAGCATACCAATTGCACTCAAGCCTGGGCAGTGGAGTGAGACTCCAACTCAAAAAAAGAAAAAATAAAAAGTGAGCACCAGGCGGTGCAGCGGCTCAGGCTATAGTCCCAGCACTTTGGGAGGCGGAGGTGAGAGGATTGTCTGAGCTCGAGGGTTCGAGACCAGCCTGGGCAACTTGGTGAGACCTTGTCTCTACAATAAATCACAAAAATCAGCCAGGCGTGCATCTGTAGTTCCAGCTATTTGGAGGGCTGAGGCGAAAGGATTGCCTGAGCCCAGCAGGTTGAGGCTGCAGTGGCCGTGAGTGTGCCACTGTACTCCAGCCTGGGCAACAGAGTGAGACTTCAACTCAAATAAATAAGTGATCACCATTTTTAATTTTGGTAATTTTTGTCAGAAGGGGTATTAGGCCATCTTAGATAGCTACCATAAAATACCGTTTTTTAGAGCAAAGGAAGAGGTCTTTCTCCATACTTCACCCCGTGACTCCTGCAGGCAAACCCTAGGGGATGCTGCCAGTCGCACTCCCGAGATATTGTGCATTTTCAGTTTTCACAGCATCTACCCTCAGTTGTACTTCACTCATGGAATAAAACATCAAACATAGCTACAAATCATGATCACACTTAGTTATGGCTAAAAAACAACAAGGCCAGTAGCAAAAATTACCCATGTCGAAAAAATATTCCACCTTATGCTGCCACTTCCATTCAAATACCGATTCCTTGACACCATTATATCCAATCTACCCAAAACAAGTATGTCCTTCCTGAGACACTCAGCCCACCAGGTGCTGTGACACCCACCCATAAGACCACATGGCTGGCTGCAGCTACAACACCCGCTATGGGATCACAGCATGCACAACTCAGCAGGCCTGGGCTCCAAGCATCACCATGCTCCCACATCAAGGGCAATGCACTAGTTCCAATGGCTCCTCCAGCACACCTCTCTGTGTTCAGTGATCCTTCTCTCACGGGCAACTGAGCATCAGTCACTCAGGTATCAAGCTCGGCCACACTTCTGCAAGCTGGCTGGGTCCACGTGTGACTCACCAGCCGACGCAGTCCCAAGCACCACTGGCTGTGTCCTGGCGACGCTGACATCCCAGATGCCATCCCTGTGGCCAATGTACTCTTTCACAAGCTGGCAGACAGCCCTCGACGTGGTAGTCTTGAAGCTGGAGACAATCTAAAATCGACAAGGGAATCAGTCTTGCTAAATAATCTGCTGAAGTGCATGTTTCTAAGAAAGGCAAAACAAAAAAGTCTTGAAAAATGCATAAATCACTGAACAGAGATTGCACAGTGATTAAAGCACTAAAGGAACAGAGCATAAGCAGAACAGAACTAAAGGCCTGTCTGGTAATGTACGTCACTCTGCTAGCTGCACAGAGCAATGAGGTACTTACGACGGCTACAGAAGGCCTCCCCACCTCAGGCTGACAGGAGCAAATACATAATGTCCTACTGTAGAAGAGCGGATTTCGGTATTTCAAGTCATTCTTCCCCAGATTTTCAGACAAAATTTCTAAATTCTTTAAGAAATAAAAAATAGCTAGCTAGACACCCAGACATGAGAGTCAGCACTAATTACTTTGACACGAGGGGGACTTTTGTTTCTTTTCTATTTTCATTTACACCAGTCACATACTATCAAGAGGAAAAAAAGCCCATGGTGAGGAGGAATCAAACAGATACACAGGTTTGTCCAAGACTGTTTATTGAGCATGTGCTCAGAGTGGGCACTGGGCTGATGGAGGGCGCAAAGCTCTCAGCCCCGTGGGGGACAGACATGGAAACAGCAGACCCCAGAAAACACACAGAATGGCACACAGTTCTCATCTTCTCTTGTGAGGAAAAATATAAAGTGAGTAAGGAAAAAAATGAATTAAACACAAAGATGTCTTCAGAGTTTGGTCTCCAAGTTGTTCTCAGCTTTTAAGTAAATCAGTATAACACAGATTACTCAGAATAACGAACCCCCCCCAAATCAAGTGAAAAACAAAAATCAGTGGCATTATACAGCGTGTTTTAAACATTGATTTAGCAAAGCCCTGAAAAATGTATCTAAATTCACTCTTACATAAACACATTAAAGAAAAACCCACAATCCATGGTTACATCAAATCAGGTATGCACATGTAAATTATTCCTCCAACACAGTGAAAAAAAAAACTTGATGAAGAGTTCTATAAACAGGTTCCTCTAGACTTGGTTACAGGAATGATAAAAGCACTTGTTCTACTTCAAACCCATCATCCTCCTTTCTTTCTGAAAGCTAATACCCTATTCAACCCAGCAGAAGTAGGCCTCCACAACATGGGAAGTGCTTTTGCTTACACAAAGTGCCATTGAGATGTTAAATAATTATGTTCCCAGTGTAGGAGGATGTGAAGTTAACACACAAAACCTTTCCCACAATCAGCTGTGGTACATTTCCTTGTCCAGATCTCTCACTATTTCCAAGGTAAACAATAGGGCTGCAGAAGCAAGCTGGTGGAGTCACATTCTTCGCCTGTCGCTTTAGGGGAGAAGAGGGCTTCTGCCCGGGAGCTGCCATGCATCCTGGCGTGACCACGCAGAAGCGCTGTGCCGTTTGTTTCTCCCATGCTGCTTCCAAGATGCCCACTGCCCTCTGGCCACCTATGAACTTTAACTCTTTGTTCCTAAAAAGCTGACTTAGCCACAAGTGCAAAGAGGCCCAAGAAAACACAGGGGATTGCTGAGAAGGGACGTTCGTGACAGAAAAGCAGCAAAGTGATGCCCACACCTGCCACCCTAATGTCTTAACTGACATACAATCTAAAGCCCTTTTCTAAAAATGCGCAAGAGCTTTGTTCCTGATGTAAGATACCTATTTTTATGAAAACACCTGCGACCATTTTCACAAGCTTTTCTGAAGGGGTCCGCAGGCTGGATGGCCCCACGTCCCTCCCACAAAGGCATCAGGAGCAGGAGCCACTCAGGGAGGGGAAGCGCCTCTTGAGGGTTCTGTCTCACCAAGCACGCCACTTGCCTCTCACAGCTCGAGGTCCGAAGGAAGGACAGTAAGGAATCTAGACTGTGGCCTTTCTCTTGTTGCAACCAGAATGCATTCTGTCACCAGATTATGTATTCACTTTTCAGTGGTATTTTCTACTTTCATTATTATTTTTTAAGACAGGTATACAAGGTATGTAAAAGCTATAAAGACCATTAGTAATATGCTTCTTATAAATTTAGATGAACTTCTAAGCATCGGCTTTTGATATCTTTCATACTTTAATATCTTTAATAGTATTTTTAAAAGCCAAGTATTACTGAACATATCCTTACCTTTGTCCAACTCTTACTTTTTTACTGCTCATGATAAGGAATAACTTTATATAATCCTTTCTTCCTCTATTCCAGAAATAACCAGAAGTTTCAGAACTCTAAGACCATACACGGTATACACACAACTGTAACACCAGAAGAAGCAGTATAACTCAAGATAGAGTAACAACAAGTTAAACGGGGAAGAACATAATTTCACACTTCATTTTGAAGAAAAAATTAAAGTTAATTTATTAAAAATTTCAAAACTTAAGAATGTTAGCCAGATATTACATGACAAAAAAAATTAAATTAGCAGTTTACATCATCAAAGGATGTTAACAAAAGAAAATAAGCGCCATAGAAATCCCAGCAACTTCTGATTTTCTTTTTTAATAAATAATTACCAAAGTCTTTCAAATAACAAGAAATAGCAGGATGACTAAATTTGCTCTATTAGTTGTAGTTAATCTCACTGTAGATGTCCTGCTAAATAAGTTTAAGCTTGAGGAAACTGGAAAAATAAAAAGCTAATAATAACAACAATTTATGCTATCATAGCAAACTCAACTGAAAACTTCAACTTTTCCCCTCGGGTTTAGCAAAAGAAATGTGCATTCACTAATGTTAGGTAATCAATTTATCTTTTGTATCCTTGAAATGCTCCAAAATAGAGATGCACACAAAATTATTCAAAGTATTACTTCATAAAAGTTCTCCATCATAGATAAATGAATTCCCAGATAGTTAAAACCTTGCCAATTTAAGAAGGTCAGAACAAGATAGTTTAAAAAAAAAATAGTAATACCATAAATGTTCCTATTTGCCTCAGAGACAGACCTTCATTCCTGATCATACTTAGAAACTTGAAGAAAATAAAAATGTAAATTTAGGTCAGAACATAATTTTCATTACTTTACAGCTATTTATTTCTTTCTTCAAATCCGGAGCCTTTATATTAGACCAATTAGCAAAAGAAACTACATATCCCCTCTAAAGATAACATATTTACTAATACAGAATACATTAACCCCAGTAAGTATAAGTGTCTAAGGGTCTGCATACTGTGGCCACTTAACATTTGATACTGCTTTCAAAAATTAAATTTTTCTAAAAACCATTTCTCTCTTTCTATTACTACACCTTTCCAGTTGGAAAATTTGCAACTTAAAGTACACATCCACACACCTTAAACACCACACGACTGGCTCAAGAGCCAGGGCCCTGCATACCTTGCTGGTGGAAGCCTTGTACGTGGTCTTTAGTTTCTGCGAAAGCTGGCTGGTGCTGTGACTGGCTGCAGAGACAGAGAACAACAATCAAGCACAATTACACAACCAGAGAGCCACAGCATCACAAGCGGGACTCCCATCTCACCCCAGGGGGCTCGTTCATCCCCAGTGGCGCAGAGCCATGCCCAGCTGTAGCAGGACCAGCCCCCTTGACCCTTGTTCTTCTAGACCCACACCTGAACTGGGAGTCTCAAGCTTTGCTGACCGCAAAAGGCAAACCAGCCAGCATCCTTCACTAAATTCCAAATGTCCCACACACGCCACCTGCAGGACAGCAATGCACGGCACGTGCCTTACCTTTGGTTTTCAGTTGGCCCTTACTCAGCTCTGCCCCATCGATCACTTGTCCTTCAGCAGCTAAACGCTCATTAAGAGTATCGATTTCTCTACGCACTGGGGACAAAAAATTTTTTCAAAAATGTAAAGTATGCTATGTTTAAATGCATCACCTCCAAAACTGCACACAGGAAGCGTTATAGGTCAGTGCTGTCTAAACAATGACATAATAGTTTAAAGTACAAAATCACAATTTACAGAGTTCTGAAAAACCTCAAGACATCACTCAAGACCCCATTCCAAAATTAAAAGTCCACACATCCTTGCTGTACCATGGAAGAGGCTGCTCTCAGAGCCTCGAGCGGGACACCTGCATCTCAACAGAGCTTTCCTCTGTGCCTGGCACTGTCGGTAGCTCAGTGAATATTTACAGTCTGGCTGAGAATAGTCACTGCAACTGGGGGAAAACATGCAGCAACAACATGTAACTACGGAAGTATGGCATCATGTAACTGTCAAGTGGGGATTATATATAAGAAAGGCTAAGAATTCAAGAAAAGTTCTGAAAAGGAGTAAAAATTACAGAATCACACAGCAAAAGAGAAGTATATAAAGGAAAGGCACGGATTATGAGACACAGCATGGTGCCAGGTGCAGTGGCTCATGCCTATAATCCTAGCACTGTGGGAAGCTGAGGCGAGAGGACTGCCTGAGCCCAGGAGTTCGCAACCAGCCTTGGGAACATAGCGAGACCTGGCCTCTACCAAAAAAAAGGCACAGCTTGGGCACAAACCCTGAGAAACTGTCTATCCCTCTGGGCATCAGGCCTACGCAGTGGTTGCATCACCCACACTGTGCAGAAGAGGAGGGAGGCTCCATCAGGGAAGTTCAGCCAGGGAAGCAACGAGGTAAGGAAGCTGGGTTCACTTTGCGCATACCTGCCCAGCTCTAGAGCTCGAGCCCTTGCTGCTAGACCTCGAAGCCTCCCAGGACTGTATAAAGAGGAGGCCAATGTGGTGGAAGAGTCTACGTGAGAGCAGAATGAGGTTCAGTCAGGACAAAGCTGGGGCTAGAGGTTCTAAACAGCACCCAGTCTAAGCAACTTGGATGTTATCTTGCTTGCTTGCTTGCTTTTTGAGTCAGGGTCAGCGACCTCCTAGGTTTAAGCAACCCTTCCACCTCAGCCTCCTGAGTAGCTGGGACTACAGGTGCCTACCACCACACTCAGCTAAAAATTTTTTTTTCCAAGAGTCGTGTAGAGTCAAGGTTTAGCTATGCTGCCTATGCTGGCCTCAAACTCCTGGGTTCAAGCAATCTGCCCACCTCAGCCTCCCAAAGTGCTAGATTACAAGTATGAGTCACTGCATCCAGTCTGGATTTTATCTTGTAGGCACCAGGGAGCCACCAAAACCTTACAGGACTAGATAACATAAACTCCAAGTATCTGCTAGAATTAGCAATTCACAATCCTATAGTTTCTTGAATAAACTGCATAAATGCCTAAAACACAAAGCCTTAGACTCAAAAATATTCCAGTTGTTAAAACTCTTGACACTTAAAAAAACCCTTAGGCCAGGCTCGGTGGCTCAGCCTGTAATCCCAGTACTTTGGGAGGCCAAGGCGAGTGGACTGCCTGAGCCCGCAGGTTCGCGACCGACCCAGGCAACTTGGAAAGACCTCACCTCTACAATAAAATAAAATAAAAATAGCCAGGTGCGGTAGCACACACCTGTAATTCCAGCTACTTGGAAGGCTGAGGCAGAAGGATCGCCGGAGCCCAGCAGGTGGAAGCTCCGGAGACCGGGAGCGTGCCACTGCACTCCAGGCTGGGCGACAGAGTGAGACTCAAACGCAAACAAAAAAAAAAAACTTAAAATCAGATGCAGTACATGGTACCCAATTTTTTATTTTACAAAAGGTTGGAATAATTTCTCCCTCTATACATTTTCAGAGTGAACTTTAAAAAAGGAGACTCCAGTATTAGAACGTTAAATTTTCCAACAGCAAAGTTTCAATGACAAAAGATATCATTCTCTTCATTATTAATCCAGCCACAACACTTAAGGGTAAAAAACAGCATAATGATGCAAATGATGCTTGTTAGTATTCAATTTTTGGTATCAACTTGTAGATAAAGTATGAAAGACTTGATTATAGCTGCATTTACCTAATATAAATTTTATACACACAAACTCTAAAAAAGAAACACTGGCAAGTAATGGAACAGCAAAAAGGACATGTCTGCTTTCTAACATCTCATGATGAAGCATTAATGCATGTATCCTAGACTGGACAGAGATAAATCCAGAAGTAGATTATTTACATTTACAGAAATAATCACCAGAAGAACTGAAAGCAAGAAAATACAAGGCTGGGGATGGTGGCTCATGCCTATAATCCCAACACCTAGAGAGGCCAAGGCTGGAGGACTGCCTGAACCCAGGAGTTCAAGACCAACCTAGGTAACACAGCAAGACCTCATCGCTACAAAAAATCAAAACATTAGCTGGGCATGGTGGTGCACACCTATAGTTCCAGTCACTCAGGAGGCTGAGGAGGATGGATCACCTGAGCCCAGGAGATCGAGACTATGGTGAGCTATGATCACATCACTGTACTCCAGCCTGGATGACAGAGTGAGACTCTGGCTCAAAAAAAAAAAAAAAATTCACAATTTCAACTGGCAGGTGTAGTAAGCAGGGTAATGGCCCCCCAAAGATGCCTGTGCCCTAAACCCTATAATCTGTGAATACAATACACATCACAGGCACAAGGAACTCCACAGGTGGGAGATGACCCTGGACTATCTGGGAGCCCAACCCAATCACACTCACCCTTATGAGGGGAGGAGAGCATAGGATAGGTCAGAGCACCAGTAAGGGGCCCTCTGCCAAGGAGTGCAGCAGGGGGACCTCCACCCCAAAACTGCAAGGAGCTGAACACTGTCACAGCCCACACAGGCAGGCATGCTCCTCCTGGAGCCTCCAGAGGAAGCAGAACTCTGCCAACGACTCTGGTCTGTGAGACTTGGACCAGACCCTCAAATCTGTAAGATGACAAATCTGTGTTATTTTAAGCTACCAAGCTTGTTTCAGCAGGACTTAAAGCTAATACAGCGATGAATATCTACCCATAAATTTTACTCTCAAAGGTTCCTGTGGATAGGTAAAAAGTTACAAAAGCATATTAAGATAGGAGATACTCACATTCTAAGTTTTCGATATAAAGATTTTCAAACTCTCTTTCTATCTGACCAAACAGTTCCAGAAGTGTACTGCGAACTGAGGAAGGCAGTTTAGAATCCTGCAGAAGAAGATTTTGTTTAAAATGAATAAATGAATGAACAGGAAACTCTAATTCCAAGTATCAATACACTTTTTCCAAACTCAGCATCTTTTATTCTAAACTTTTATATCCTTACATTTTTCCTTTCTTATACATAAAATGCTTAAAGAATTTAAAGTTTCAAATTTCTACAGAGGAAATTACAAATCCAACTGCACACATGGCTACCTGGGATGACATGCCATTTAAAAACAAGCACTTCTTCAAAGGAACATAATTTTCCCTTTGCAAGAGAGGACAGAAGCCTACCTGACTCAAATACTTCCAAATCTGCAGGGAAGGAAGCAGCTCCCACAAATGAAATTATACTATAGGCAGCCTTTAGCTCCTCATATGCTTTCCCAAGTGTATTTGGACGCGCTCTAGACCACTGACGGAAGAGGAGCCCACAGGGTTCTCGTCATGTCCACTGTGCTTCAAGCAAAATAAGCAGGCTATTTCCTGTCACTCTGCCTAATACCTAAAAACTGTTATGACGGGGGAAGAAAGAAAAGTCTCACCTAAAAGAACAAAATATCTGTTAGTCAAGTGAGAATATTAACTTTTCAGTCCCCAGCTGGGCAGTTTCTTCAGGACTGCGTGTCCCTCAAACCTCCCAAGAAGGCAAGGGAAGGAGCAAGTCTATGCTGTACGTCTAAGTGGGGTCACACCATGAGCAGAATCCTGAGCACCAGGTACCGTCACAAGCGTTTGCTCCTCCCGAACACTGCTAATAAAGAGGGGACGGCTTGATAGGGTCTACAGTCTACTCCAACCTCCCGGAGGAAGCACCCTATAAAATACTTTGTGTGTGTCCCCTACTCCCTGCACTCAGAGTAATTCTCCCAAAAAACCCTCAACAAATATTTCTAAAATAATGTGTCAATACTTAACTTCTCTAAGTGGCCTTTCAAAACTGATGTACAGCTGTGAGGTAACTGGACACTGACTTTTTTTCGCATTTGGTTTTTTGTGCCCCTCCCTCAGGGAGCAGCCCTGGCCAAAGATGGTCTTTGCCGAACATGCGTTTTCCCTGTAACAAGTCCCGGGGCTAAGGAGTCAGGGATGCAGGCAACCAAGTAGCCTAAAACAGGGCAGTCATCGCTCTTCATCACTGTGACGTGGACACTGCACAGGAATCTGCACAGTTAAGCTGCTTGCGTATAAACTGCCTGCTGTGCCCTCCCAAGGCATAGCTCCTCACGACTGTTGCCATCAGTTCCCTTGTGTAAGTGTAACGGCCAGTGTCTATCCCTACTGGACCTCCCGGTGACTCCTTTGAAGTATGTGAGGAGCACTACATGCAAACCCTCTCAGATCTGGGGCTACCATTTTAAGGGAAAATGGCATTTTAGCAATATGAATGTTACAGTTACCACAGATTTCTCACATACATTTTACAAACAACTTAAACTCACTAGTAGGCTGTCATGATGAAAAACCAGTTTAAATATTGAATCTGGAAAAACTGGTACTACAGCCTCTCTCAACATTCTTCTAAAATATCAATGAAGAACATTATAAAACAAAAGGAGGCCGGGTTCGGTGGCTCAGCCTGAAATTCCAGCGCTTTGGGAGGCTGAGGTGAGTGGACTGCCTGAGCCCGCGGGTTCGAGACCTGCCCGGGCAGCGAGACCTCATCTCTACAATAAATCAAAAAATCAACCAGGTGTGGTAGCGCATGCCTGTAATTCCGGTTACTGGGAAGGCTGAGGCGGAAGGATCGCCGGAGCCCAGCAGGTCGAGGCTGCAGTGGCCGGGAGCGGCCACTGCACTCCAGTCTGGGCGACAGAATGAGACTCCAACTCAACAACAACAAAAAAAAAACCATCAATGGGGAAACTCCAGTAACTACAAGACGTAAACCTGCACTAACTGGGAATCACAATTAACATGCAACTCTGCCCAGCCTGCAGCCTTGGCATGTTCCACTCCCTCTCCATGAACTTTCCCTCCTTGCAAGAGTCACTTCCTCAGAGAAGCCTTTCCGACTCCCACACAAGGACAAATCTCCTCTCACATGCATCAGTGCCAACTCATCTCCACTCGTGTTTTAAGATCCTTATTGTTGAGCAACCAAGATATTACATTTACTTGAATATCCTGTTCATCTTAATATAAAAGTAACTGCTATGAAAAAGAAAGCTGAGATGCTGGCATTAACCTCGCCTTGGTTAAAAAAAAAAAGGTAATTAAGAGACCAAACATACAGGGAAGTGAGAACTTTGCCACTAGAGGGCAGCTGAGCCCAGGAGAGTACACCTTCCAAAATCACCTTCCAGCCTTTTCGATCAGTGGTCCTTTCCCGTTCCATTCTGTTTCACAGACCCGGAAATGAGGTGCTCAACTTGTTACCACTTGAGGAAACCAAAGACAGAAAAGCTGCTGTGACTGAGCAACACTGCTGAATGCATCTGCCTTTCACCACATCACTAGTAGGCTGGTCGAAGCTGAGCCCAGCACCCCAGGCAGGCAGCAGCAAGCTCTCCAGACCACAGGCAGTGCGGGACACGTGCACAGACGCCGTGGCTCTCTGCAACAGGGGAGTGCCCCTCCCTGCAACCACCCCCTTCGAAGCCTGCGCCAGACTGGCGAAGCTAAGGCGTGTCGAGTGAGCCCTGACATTGTATCTCACTCAGTCAGACTCATCTTCACTCTTTCTTCTGCATCGCTCTCCAATGACTGAAAGAGCACTGCTGTATGCTTCGTCTCAAATGTGACTGCTCCTGTTGCTCAGTTCAAACCTATGGGCGACTGGCACGTCTGTGTTCTCGGATGGTTTCGTTCGCACCTACCATGCCAAACGCTAGCACCAGACACCCTGGCTCTCTTCCTCCTGCTGCAGGGGAAGGCAGAGCGCCTCACCCTGGCCACTCACAGAGCATGCCAGTTGGCCCACTCCAGCCCATTCAACACGCAAGAGCCATTGAGGGAGCGTGGGAGACACAAAGGACAGAGCCGTAAGAGTAGCGCAGAGGACTAGGTCATGCACTTTGGGGAATTCTGAGTTTCCTTCCCAATGGTTACCATGAGATGTGACGGCCTCCTGTATTACATCACAATGGAGGTCAGGTACTCACAAAGGCCCAGAGAACATGTTTACCTCATTCGGGAAGTAGCTCAAGAACATGGCAGCACAGGAAGCTGCAGAATTTTCACCATGAGAAATGTAAGTAAATCTAAAAATTAAAACCACTTATCCGCACTAACATGGTAGCCACTTGACAATTTAAATTTCAATGTCAGGCCAGGCACAGTGGCTCACACCTGTAATCCCAGCACCTTGGAAGGCTGAGGTGAGAGGATTGCCTGAGCTCACGGGTTCAAGACCAGCCTGGGCAACACGGCAAGACCTCGTCTCTACAGCAAATAAAAAAAAATTAGCCAGGCATGGTGGCACGCGCCTGTAGTTCCAGCTACTTGGAAGGCTGGGGCTGAAGGTACACCTGAGCCCAGTAGATCAAGGCTATGGTGGCTGTGAACACGCCACTGCACTCCAGCCTGGGCAACAGTGAGACTGACTCAAAAAAACATTTCAATGTCAAGTAATTAAAATCACTTGTAATGAACATTTTTAAGTTAAAGTAATTAATTTTTTAATGAATCAAAATCTTTAAAAATTAAAATTTCAGGCCCTAAGACAGCAGCACATGTGCCTTGTGCTCCTCTATCAGACACCACAGGCACGGACACTTCTGTCATCACCAGAGTCTGCCACGCAGCTCTGGTTTCACTCTTCTAAATGTTGTGGCTGAATTGTGTCCCCCAAAGTCCTATGTTGAGTCCAAGGGCCCAGGACCTTGGAAGTGACTGTGTTTGGAGAAAGGGCCTTTAAAGAGGTGATTAAGGTAAAATGAGGTTCTCCAAACAGGTGGGCCCTAATCCAGGCTGACTGGTATCCTTGTAAGAAGAAGAGAGGAGGACACAGACACACAGTGGAACAACCTCGTGAGGACACAGGGAGAAGACTGGGTGCACAAGCCACAGAGACAGGCCTCAGGAGGAACTAGCCCTTCCAACACTTTGATCTACGACTTTTAGCTTCCAGGACTGTGAGAACATAAATTGCTGTTGTTTAAGCCACCTAGTCTGAAATATTTTGCTATAGCAGCCCTAGCAAAGCAATACACTAAGAATATCAAAGTTGGGTCAGGCGCAGTGTTTCGTGCCTATAACCCCAGCATTCTGGGAGGCTGAGGCAGTATGACTGCTTGAGTCAAGAAGTTCATTCAAGACCAGTCTGGACAACACAGCAAGAATTTGCCTCTACAAAAAAAGAAAAAATTAAACCAGGCGTAGTGGTGCAAGCCTGTAGTTCCAGTTACTCAGAGGCCAAGGCAAGAGGATCGCCTAAGCCCAGGAGTTAAAAGGCTTCAGTGAGCCATGATCATGCCACTGCACTCCAGCCTGGACAACAGAGAACCCAACTCAAAAAAAAGAGAAAAAAAAAAGTGTAATCTCAAGGGCTAAATTTGGGATGTTTTAAATTACAGGTATTTTTTTAAAAAAGGAATATCAGGCCGGGCTCGGTAGCTCAGCCTATAATCCCGCGCTTTGGAAGGCCGAGGTGAGTGAACTGCCTGAGCCCATGGGTTTGAGATCCGCCTGGGCAACTTGGTGAGACCTCATCTCTACAATAAACCCACAGTACGATTCCTCCAAAATTCCAGCCAAAAATGAAGGCACTCCCCTGCTGGCCATAGCCTCGGCGCCTCCTTTAGACGATGAATTTTTCCCCGAGGAGGAGATGGAGATGGAGTTGGAGGAAGAAGTGATTGGTATCATAAGCGAAAAAATCCTGGTAATGTTGCCAAGGTACCTCCTCCCATACCTAGAAATAAGGTGAAAACACCGAAATTCACACCTGGGTATGTGTCTCCAGCTAATGTAGGTATGCAGGGAGCCAGAAAAAAGGCAGAAGAAGAGGGAGATTTTACCTTATCTTCTTGCTTTCCAGTAATTTATATGGAAGAAGGCACAGTAAACGAGGCACCTCACTGGGAGCCGCTACCATATAAATTGATTAAGGAACTTAAAGAGGCTTGTACTCAGTATGGTCCTACGGCTCCTTATACTATTACTATTATGGAACAATTTGCCACTCGGTGGATGACATCACAAGATTGGTGACAACTTGCTAAAAGCTGTTTGTCAGGAGGAGCCTATTTACTATGGACAACTGAATTTGAAGATCAGGTAAGGATCCAGAAGACTGCTAACCAGCAGAGGGATCCAGATCAGTTTCTTATTTCTAGCAATATGCTGTTTGGAAGAGAATTATATGAGTCAGTTGACAGTCAACTAATCTTACCCAAGAAGTTTTACTCCAGGTAAATTCTTGTGCAAGTAAGGCTTGGAAGAAGTTACCTATTAATTCTACTCAGACTACCTCACTATCTGATCTTAAGCAAAAACCAGATGAAACTTACGAGGAGTTTGTCTCTAGACTTACAACAGCAGTAAATAGAGTAATCTCTAATGCAGAAGCAGCAGATATCCTTATTAAACAGTTGGCTTTTGAGAATGCTGACAGTACTTGCCAAGCTTTGATTAGACGGATTAGAAGAACAGGACAATTAACTGATTATATCAGGCAGTGTGCTGATATTAACCCTGCCGTTATGCAGGGTATGGCAATAGCCGCCGCCTTGAAGGAAGAAACTTATGCACAATTTGTGCAGGGAATGAAAAATGGTAATAATAAATCAAAAAACAGCTCGGTTTTAACTTGTTATAACTGTGGGCAGCCTGGCTATATTAGTAGGGACTGCCCAGCCAAATAAGGGTTGCAGGAAGCCCTGATGCAACAGCCTAATGAGAGCTCTCGACCAAAGTATCTGTGTCCTAGGTGTCAGAAAGGATTTCACTGGGCTAGGGATTGCAAATCCAAATTTTATAAAAATGGCACTCTGTTAACTAAACAACAATCTACGATGCTGATTCCGGGAAACGGGCAGAGCGGCCGGCCCCGGCCCCAAATAACAATAGGGGCAGCTTCCAGCATGAACCCGTTTGTTCCCTTTGTCCCATCTCAGAACTCATCAGAGCCACCCCAAGGAGCACAGGACTGGACCTCCATTCCTCCACCAAAACAATATTAACTCCAGATGTTCCAGTTACCCCAATTGCAACAGGAGTGAAGGGCCCTCTCCCAGATGGAATAGTGAGTATAATATTAGGAAGAAGTTCCTTGTCTCTACAAGGAGTTTCTGTAATTCCTGGAGTGGTGGACTCTGACTACACAGGGGAAATCCAGGTACCTGTTGCTCCCCCTAGCAAAACCGTACAATTTTATGAAGGTCAAAGAATAGCTCAGTTACTACTCTTACCCTATCATAGAATGGGCAAGTCTCTAACCGATAAGCCCAGGGGTGACTCTGGATTTGGCTCAAGCAATTTTGCTTTCTGGGTTCAGGAAATTACTAACTCCAGACCTCCAAAAGATTTATATATTCAGGGAGTTAAAATTAAAGGTCTGCTAGATACAGGGGCTGATGTTTCTTGTATTGCTGGGAAAGACTGGCCGTCTTCCTGGCCAACACAAGTAGCCCTATCAGGACTCATTGGTATGGTCGAGCGCCCTCTGTAGCCAAAAGTTCTCAAATCTTAAATTGGACAGATAACGAAACTTCAGGAACCTTTTGTCCCTACATCATTCCTTCCATCCCCATTACACTTTGGGGACACGATACTCTTGCTCAAATGGGCATGCTTCTGTATAGTCCAGATGACAAGGTGTCAGCACAAACGCTACAAATAGGATGCGATCCCTTAAAGGGGCTTGGAAGGAACAGACAGGGCATAAAAGGACCTGTTCAGGTTGTAGAGAGGAAAGACCAGTCTGGTATTGGCTTTTCAAATATTGCCCTAGGGGCCACTATTGTTCCTGAGGCTGCTGATCCCATTACCCGGAAAGATGATAAACCAGTTTGGGTGGAACAATGGCCAATGCCCTCAGAGAAACTTAAGGCAGCAAGAGAATTAGTTCAACAGCAGTTCGAGGCTGGCCATATAGAGCCTTCTACCAGTCCTTGGAATACTCCTATATTTGTTATAAAAAAGAAATCTGGAAAATGGAGACTTTTACAGGATCTAAGAGCCATTAATGCCACCATGGAGGCTATGGGTGCACTGCAGCCCGGGCTGCCATCTCCAGTTGCTCACAGGATGCGTCAACTCCTGTTTGGATTCCTGATTGATTTATTCGAAATGCCCCCGCTAACCTGAAGACTGAGACAGGTGGCATGGACCCTGTAGACTCAAAGGAATAGACATGGAGCAATGCCTACCAACTATTACATGCTGAACAGGATTTGCAACACTCGGCCAAACAAGAATTGCACCATCCACCCTGCCAGCCAGAGGAAGGAAGAACACTGACACACCAGATGAGAGAACTTTCATTGCAGAACAAAAACTTCCCTCTCAGATTAGCCCAAAATCAAGACAACACACTATCAGATGCTGTCTAAAAACTATAACAATGTCTTCAGCGTCCGTCGTTCCCAATTACCAGCATGGGAGCAAACAGAATTTCTGGCAGAAGCAGGAGATATGGTAACTTCACAACATGCTAAAAACATAAACAAAATAAGGGTTTTCACTTCCTTTGTCCTCTCCTATTCCTCCTATAACTCCAATTCCTGCTTTCCCTACTACTCTTGCTTTTTGTCATCTGTTCTATGAGTCCCTTCGCCTTTATCTGGGAAGGAAGGGCAGGCGTCTATGGCTGTGGCACCTAGCTCTGACTTTCAGTCTTTCTCTTTAACCTTTGGAGAAGGGGCATGTGCCAAAGGCCACGGCACCTATCCCCAGCCTCCAGTCTTTCTCTTTTACCTCTGGAGAAGGGGCGGGTGCCAAAGGCCACGGCACCTAACCCCAGCCTCCAGACTTCTCACCCCCCTTTTTTCCACCCACATATCTCTTCTCAAGGGGGTGGCTAGGACAAAGGACTTATGAAGGAAGCTCTTGTTCACCTCCCATTTGTTTCTAACAACACTGAGAAGGACTGGCTGATCATTTCACGAGATTCTGGACATCCAATATGGAGAGACTGTATTTATGACTCTAAAGTGGACTATTTTTTACCCTGTGTAAAACTTGACCTTATACTTCAAGGTTAGATGGGGAAAATCCCATCTCTGCTAGATGGCATATTAATGAATGGGTACCTCCAGTGTTAACATTGACCATAAAACGTCAAAATGATGTTTATAATTTGTCTTGTAAACAAGTGTATTAACTAACTGTTTAACTGATGTTTCTTATAAGGGATTTGTTGTTCTCAGACAGACTCTTGTGAATATGGTTTAAAACACTGTCGGAAAAGATTTTTGGAATTACAGCCTTAATAGCTACTTTTCAGCTGTAGCATTACCTAAGGAAGTTCATACAGCTACGTTTGCTGATCGGCTATCTAAAAACATTTCTATTGCTGTAGCTATTCAGGAAATCGTACACCAGAAGTTAGAAAGTAAGGTTAATCTTTTAGCAGTAGGGCAAGAACTTGTGACCTTAAAAATAAAATTGAGCCGGGCTCGGTGGCTCAGCCAGTAATCCCGCACCTTGGGAGGCTGAGGTGAGTGGACTGCCTGAGCCCACGAGTTTGAGACCTGCCCGGGCAACTTAGCGAGACCTCATCTCTACAATAAATCAAAAAATCAGCCAGGCGTGGTAGCTCGCGCCTGTAGTTCCAGCTACTTGGAAGGCTGAGGCGGAAGGATCGCCGGAGCCCAGCAGGTCGAGGCTGCGGTGGCCGGGAGCAGCCACCGCACTCCAGTCTGGGTAATAGTGAGACTCCAAGTCAAAAAAATAAATAAATAAATGAAGTAAATAAATAAAATAAAATAGGCTCTCCAATGTCACTCTGAGTTTAAATCTGTCCATACTTGGGACAAAGTAACTTGGAATTTGGAACCATTCAGACCTGAGTATAGACCTTACTAAATTACATCAAGAAATTCAGGTATCATTTGCTAATCAAAAATCATTAATGTCTATACTCATCAATGTGGGAATTTGCGGAGCAGTGATTCTTTTGTTGCTGTGTTTACTCCCAATCATCTTCAGAGTGCTAAAGAAGAGCAATACGGAGTTTCATGGTTTCATGCTAAAAAATAAAAAAGGGGGAGATGTTGGGAGCCGGCCACGGAGGCCCACTGAGCATTAGGGATCAGGAAGGGCTGTTGACCCCGAGACCACTAGGATGTGTTCGGGAGCTATTGACCCCATTTCCTCCCCCTTTCTACTCAGCACTAACCAGATTAAGCTCCTGTGAACTCAAAACATAAAAACTCTGAGACTGGGACGAACACAAGCTAACTTTAGAAGCTCATTGCTCCCATTCTTCCACAAACTGCAGTTTTGGCTTTCACGCAACTTATAATTCAAACTCGGGTCACATCTAAGAGCCTTAGTATTGGTCATAGGCTTCTGGTCATGATCTTAGGATTTACTGAAGTTGAATAAATGAATTAAGGTTCATTCTTCTTCCCCCCAATCGCCGACGCCGTCTCCACCTTTGGGGTACCCTGAACCCAGCTGGAGCTGGTCTTCGGCAAACTTTATTTCAATAAAGCCCTGATCAATATTCACTTACTTGTCCTTCTAACATTTCTCTTGGCAGTCCTGTCCTCTCCTGCTCCGAGCTGTTAGTTCTTCGTATAGAAAGGCTATGTGATTTGCGTTTTTGTTTTGCTTGGCGGGCAGTCGAACAACTTCCGCTTTCTGTGGGCATTACTTCTAGAAGGTAGTGTCCTGGTCACTCCTGCAATAAGCTAAACAGTAGCAGGAAAAACAAGTATTTTATTTCTGATATGGCAAAAGTGAAATAAAAGAAAAACGGGACAAGATAATTAGTCCTTCAATTACAAGATTCCTTAGTATGGTTAACACTATATAATTTAGAACCTGACAAATTAAGATGTTTTAAAGGTAGAGACTGCAGTCTTTGTTTAAAAGGTCACGTTTTATCAAATTTCATTAACATGTTTTAAATAGCAAATAGCAAAAAATGGCTTAAAATAAAAAGCTCTCCCTTAACCCAACTTTCCCAAGGTGCAGTCTACTCCTCAGAGGAAACTGATTTTAACTCCATATTCCAGACTACACATTCAAGAGCCATGCTGTCCCAGAGAAACACAATGCAACCCATGCAAGTAACTTTAAATTTTCTAGTGTCCGCATTTATAAAAATAAAAGCATTTGAGATTACTTCCAATGACTTATTTAACCCAATATATCTAATATTTTACAGTTAACAAAAAATTAATGGAATATTTTATTACTGTTTTATGATTACCTCTGTAAAATTCAGGGTGTATTTTATATTTACAGCATATCTCAATTCAAATTCCATTAAGAGACCGGGTTCGGTGGCTCAGTCTGAAATCCCAGCACTTTGGGAGGCCGAGGTGAGTGGACTGCCTGAGCCCGCGGGTTCAAGACCCGCCTGGGCAACTTGACGAGAC